AAACGCAACAATTAATTGGACTTCGTTTGTTAATTACTTCTGTGATCAGTCAGTTCAAACATACACAAAAAACAACTTGTCAATTGATTTTTTAATTGATTGAGACCAAGCATGAAATAGAATAATTACACGCAAGAGCAGTTTGGTGGTAAAATGTCCTTCCTCTTTTCTTTACTTAAAATAACAATAACAGTTATAGTTTCTCTAAGACGGGACATAACGATAGACCGCCAGTCCACGAGACCACCAAAGTCAGTCTTGTGTGTCCCAAGTCTCGAAATCATAAGGTAATTTTTCAGAAGAAGGTCTGCGATACTATATTCTGTCGGTTTTGTGGCCGTTACTATAGTGGGTTGTCGGTATCGTGAGCTCTAGGTCTCGAGGGCTGTAATCTTTAAGAATGTAACAATACAAAAGAGAAAGAAAGCGACAATACATTTTGTCAGAACCCCCCCCCCCCCCACAGCTTTTCGCGAAAGAGAAACAAATATTTATAATTGTTGGGGCTGTAGTTTAGCGTTAGTTCCCCCGGGATGGTCGTAAAGTGGTGTACTTGCATTTGTATTTAAACGCGCCAAAAATGATCCTATTTGCACGAAGAGAGGTTTCAAGGTCAGGACAACGTCATTAACGGAAGTATACACCAGCAACTGTGGTATGTTTTTTCATATCGTGAAAATGAAATGAAGAGCAAGAGAAAACTTGAAAAGCAAGTACGAGACGTTTTAATAGTTAAAAGTGAAATATACCGTTAAATTCTTCTATTATGTAATTGCAGATATTTGGTTCTGAAAATCGTTTCTATTGAACTACATTTACTCGACAAATATTTAAAATAAGCTATTGCTGTTAACATTCTTTCGTTTGAAAGCCCAGGAGAGTTAACAAAAATCGAATGATTGATACGGTAGTTAGTCTGTCTCAAATATGTCATCTTCATGTAAAGGAGTGGATCGAAAATACGTTTTGTTGAAAATGTTTGAGATCCGATTATTGTAGATTTGTCGTAATTATACATGTGAGTATACAAACATGTTGTTCACAGACTTTTATCTTTCGATTCTTTGGAAGTGGCGACACTAATCAAATATGCGAGGAAATGAGAAGAGATGGGTACATACTCATCGTCTTCTTATTTACCTAGGACAACGAGTTGTCATTGCAAGAAGAAGAAAAACAGTGGTTTAAGACACACAAACCTCCTCGTTCGTCTGTCTGTATGAATACGTGTCTGTCTGTCTTTCTTCCTGGAGTGTCTATATATGTCACTGACTCCAATTTGCTATCTTAAGTCGAAAAATGTTAATCTCCTTGTCGCTACTATATCCTATACATTTTTTAATGAAACATTCCAATCTTCATTGCATTACTAATACCAAAAAGAACCCTTTTTAACGCTAATCTACATACTGGTGAGTACAGCCCTTTCATTATTGGCATTCAATCCGTTAATAGAACCAAACAATAAGAATTGTGTTTTTATGAGAGCAAGTAATCCAAAATGAGGCAAAATGTGGCAAATTGAACGTTATTGATGTTTTTTGGAGGAACCATACAAAAGTTTACTTTTTTATAGGCGATTTCGATATTGATAATTTTAGAGTGATGTTAATCCAATTTGTTAATCCAATTAGCCGGCCTTCAGTATTTCATTTGATGTCCCTCTTGTTCTCTTGATTATACTTTATTTTCCCCCTCTTACTTCTTTCTATTTAATCTTACTTCCTTTGATTTTCTTTTCCTTCGCAACCCCTCTTTTTATTCCTCTTTTATTCTTTATCTTCTTTTTCTTCCCCCTTTTCTTTTGTATCCTTTGTCATTTTCTTTTCCTTTCTCGCTGTTCTCAGCCGTCTTGCACTTATCTTTTGCAACTTTTCGTCTCTTTACCTTTCTTAAGTTTCACTTAAAGACAAGACCGGATCGGTTTTGTGCTTATTCTTTTTTGTTTTACTCTGTACATAATTTTGCAGCTAAAGCTTATCGCTTTTATTGTTGTTCAATGCAGCTTGACAAATATTTGTTGTTATAATGTGTTTCTTCCACTTCCAGCCTATGGTGAATTAATGTGGGTGGTGTAATGTGATTGCCAGTCTCACAGGAATAACAATGTTGAATGTGTTGATGATGCAGGGTACTTAAAGAGTCACATTTTTTGTGCTTATGCACGTGTATGTTTACAGACTTTTATCTTTTGATTCTATTTGAAGTAGGGAAGAGGCGACACTTGTCAAATAAGAGACCATACGTGGAGAGGAACATGTTGGCCAATAGTGGAATAAAGGAACGTAATTGATCTCTTGGGTTTCTTTGAATTGAAGAGAAAGAGAGAGAAAGAGAGAGAGAGAGAGAGATTACTTGCCAGTTTGATTTGATATATGGAACAAAGTAAACAACATATAATACCCACAAAATAATTGACTTTAATAACAACCAAAACAATTAGACATAACAAGACAATACAATACAATAAAACCATTTATATAGTGCTCTTACAAACTAACTGTAGTTTCACAGCGCTTTACCAATCCCCCCCCCAAATAATATATTGTTGATCATGGTTGCATTGTAGCAACCCATGGCCCCTTACCACAAAGAGTTGATAGCAATTGATTTTTGCGATTGATTGCACATAGTGATCAATGCAATCAATCGCTAAAATAAATTGTACGATCAATTGCTAAGTTTTTTTTACGGGGCACTGGCGTGGCGACGATATATAAAGCTATTTTTTAAAGGGGTGGACGGCCAATTATATTATTGTCAGGCTGCATCTGCTAGGTGCTACGTTGGAGGGAGGAATGCCTTGAAATGTTGGCTAAAAATGGACTGTAATACGGCACCAGGGGTCTCTCGGTCTGTGTGGTGTTAGCGCTACACAATAAATCAATGTTGGTGTCAACCTTTTTTTTTAATACGAAGATAATGAATTGATTTTATTTGATTTAATTTATTTATTTCTGTTTGATTTTTCTTTTTCTTTTTGCAGTTTTACAAATATATAACAAACAAAACATTGCAAATTTTAGGCATGACAAAAGAATATATGTAGAATAAAGTAAGGCTGGCTGTAACTAATCGAAAACATCAAACAGGAGGCTTGACAAAGTAAGCACAGTTTGATAGAATGACTACCCTCGAATTGATGTTTTGTTTGAGTAATTGATGCGTCGAATAAGTTTTATTGGAAAGGAATTGAAGTACTCCCATGAGATATACATGCACCGCTATTTCGTTTCCTATTTGTGTATGTTTACAAGAAGTTATTTTGTCCTTGGTGACGTAGAGTAGAATAACTACAAAATCTTATACGACCTACCGCATTTACAGACAACTTGCAAAGAAGTCAGTAGTAACATTTCCCATTCATCTACAGATAAGCCGATAATGACACAGTCTGGGTTGCGATGATTTGTTTTGACATATTATATCATGATATCACAGAGTGTTATCTCTGAATGCCCCTTCAGAGGTACCCTCTTATAATTATGGTTTATAGCCTTTTACTACCAGTACGTCTACTACCCGATTGGTCTATTCCTATATGATCTACGACCAGTCCGTCTACTACATGGTCTAGAATCGTTTTGTCTACATATCATTTGGTCTAATGACAATTAGGATAATTCCATTTGGTCCAATCTCCGATAAGTCTGCTAGCCATTTGGTGTGTTGCTCAATTAGTCTAATTTCCGATCGGTCTAATTCCCAGTTTGTCTAATGCCCTCTTTGTCTACTACCCATGATTTAATAATCATTCAATCATATATAAATAAAAATAATCATCAAACTGATTATTAGACCTAAAAGATGGTAGACGAAACGGGAATTAGACAAACTGGAAATTAGAATAACTGGGTATTACAGTAAATGAACAATATACAAAATGGGAGTTAGTCTAATTGGAGATTGGATCATATGGAAATTAGACCAAATGGCCGTATTAGATGGTCTATAGACCAAATAATAAGTAGACGAAATGATTATTAGACCATGTGGATAGCATACGGGCTGGGTGTAGACCATATGGGAATAGACCAATTGGGTAGTAGACGAACTGGTTGTATACCAAAAGGCAGTTTTCCAGGGGCAGTTTTATATGACCCTTCTTCGAGAAAAGTAAACTCCGCGGTAGTTTGATATCTATGATTTAGTAAATTAATTTTTATGTACAAATGATAGCTGTAGATATTATCTTTTGCTTCTGCTTCATACAATAATTTCTGATTACTAGTATGTAGATAAGTTTGTTTATTAACGTAATTCCACGTACTTGTTTTGCTTCTTCTCACAAGATGAGGTACAGTATATGTTTATCTTTCTTGTAACCAGAAACACCAACACTTATAACTCAAAGAACGTGTGCTACATTACATTAGAAAACAAAAGGCCATCGTCACTTTTCGAGAGAGAGAAAAAAAGGTTTTAAATCACCTTCAGTTATGAATATGCTAATTGTTAAGACTACCGTGTAACTGTTGATGTATTGCTATAATTAAACACATGTGAAAAAATTATTTGCGAAATAACTCTTTGTTGTATTTTTTTTCTTTCTTTGAATGTATCTTTACAACTTAAAGGGATGGGTACCTTTGACTCAAATTCTGAAACAAAATCCTGGATGTAGCTCATGCTGCAATGATAATTATAAACCTTTAGGTCAGTCAGGAACCCCATGACTTTTACAAGCCGATCGCCTGTCTGATTATCAAGATTTTATGATTGGAAATCGAAATCAATTTTTCCATTTTCCTTACGGTTTTATAACACTACAGTCTATTGGAGAAAATGAGTATGGTAAAACCGGTCAAATTTTTAATTTCTTGAGGTACTTCACGATCATTTTGAAGCGCAATTTTGTTTAGGGCTTCAATATTTCACCATATCACATACACTAATAACACGTAGGGCCATGAATCTCAGATCTAACATTGTTAAACGATGCCTTTAAACACAACAACTAACAGACTAAGGCATTTTGTTTTCCTATCTCAATCCTACAGAGACATGATGGTAGGGATCTATTACTCAAGAGCCTGTTTCATTCCTGCTGTTATTTGTCTTCTCTGGCTGTGTGCTGTTAAGAGTGAAGAAGGTATAGGCCTACAACATGATGTAAGTATGAGTACTATGTGCACTTCACATAGTCACATACGCTACATTATTTTGTATGTGCAATTAGGGAAAATTTGTTTCGTAATGATGATGATAATGATGATGACGATTGTCTTATCTGACTGTTAATAAATCATGTGTATGTTTGTAATTTTGTTAGCAACTAGAGGACCGTCGCGACGGTTTTAAATCTTCGACTAGGGACTTGGTAATGACTAGCGCATGGACTAGCGTATAGAACCAGGAACCTTCCGGTTACGAAGCCACTGCTCTACTACTGAGATATCGCCCCTCCTGGTGGAATATTTTGACCATTGAAATATTTACTGGAAATTTACTGGAATTTATATTTATGTTAATAATGTTATTTACGCTAACCAGGGAGATGACAGCAATCTCCCTGTGCTAACCTAAAGTGATTCTTCACACATTTTCTTACTGTCCGCTCCCTCGAGATAATGGGAGCGAAGACAGGTGAAAACTAGAGTTCAGGAAAGTATTAATCCTTTAATTTTGATCCAAATGTGTATTTTAAAGACAAATTTATGGGCATCATCCCTTCCAATTTTAGTATTAAAGGCAAACGATCTTACATACAAGGCCTGTCCTTTATTCAGTGGGTGATTTTATTGCTTTTTAGGGTAATTGGGCTTCTGAAAGCAACACTGAGTCTGAATAACCCATCTCATTCAGAAGTCATAGAACACGCCCTTTATACTGGACATAACATTGGAGGGAATTTGAAACACACCAGTGGTCAAGAAAGGTGAATGTATCCAACTGGATTAAAATGATTAATCCTAATTCACTGAATAGGGATTTAGCTATTCACCGTGATAATCACCTATCTTCTCTACCGTGTGAGTCAAAAAAAGTTTACACCTAGAAAATTGCTAATTATTTTATAAATCGAAAAATAAAGTGTTTTATCCCAAATCATTTAGTACCATTTTGTGTGGTATGTGTTCACGCTTGGATGAACAGGAGGCTTTGTTTGCGAGAGTGCAAAAATTGACTTGCGCTAAAGTTGCTTATGTGATGTTTGAATAAAACACTTAGGATTTGGGTAATAATTCGATCTTTGCAGATCCAAATAACATCCCTAATAAATTTAATCATGTCACACATATCAAATATCGAATTTCAAATATCAAACAACATGTGTGCGCGTGTGTGTGACTTTGCTTCTGCAAAAAGCATAGCAATGCGTTTCATTCGATACATTCAATCCATTCTCTCACTCACTACATACTGTAGGCATCACTCTGCCGCAAGTCGATTTTTGCACTCTCGCAAAAAATGCCTCCTGTTTATCCAAGCGTGAACACATTCCACACAAAAATGATACCAAATGATTTGGGATGAAACACTTTTTCATAAGATGTATAATTATTTACTGTTCATAGATGATTTTTTAAAATAATAAGCAATTTTCTAGGTGTAAACTTTGTTTTGACTCACACGGTACAGTTATGAATTCGAAGCATCCGACAGCAAGAGACTGCGTGTAGTACCATTTGGTTTGAAAACGTCTGCAGGAGTGAATGATTGGTAGAAGCCTATTAAAACAACAACAAGTAATACTACTACTATATGTACTACTACATTTACTACTACTACTACTACTACTACTACTACTACTACTACTACTACTACTACTACTAATAATAATAATAATATAGTACTACTTTTAGCAAGGGTTTCATATATATCCATCCACCCGTAGTCCTAGCCTATTCTTTGGTATCAAAATGAAGAGATAATAAACTTCTGCAATTTGAGCAAACTCCGATTAAAATGAATGAGTATTAAAATTATATAAATTGAATGTTAAACCTCTAAATCACCTAGGTGTCTAACGAAGAGAAGGTCGACCTGAGAAGCGCATCGAGATCGTTGACTGACTGGCGACATCGAGTACGACGGGCATCGTTGACCAGTGTCTGGTCATCATGGAGTGGCTGGTCAGCGTGTTCGAGGACGTGTGGGGGAGGGGCACAGTTTCGGACTAGACATTGTATGAGTAGGTAGGTGGCCCCATACTCGAACACTGTTTCAACGTTTAGTAGAGAGGTCAAGCGTCATTATCAGTTTTCTGTCATGAATCTAACAATATAAAAACAGCCAATGGGCATGAATTCATTCACATATACATCTCAATGGACGTCTTACAAAGTAAATACATATGTGAAAACAATAACATAAATTTCATAATAAAGCAAAAACGAACAAACTACAAAGAATGTAATATGTGTATAATATATTACGAATCAACGAAAGAATTAGGAATATTTTTTAGTTGGGTAACACCTGAATATGCATATACTATTCTTGTTCTTCCACTTACGTATCTCCTTTCTTCTTTAACATTATTTCTTCCTTTCCCCCGGGCCTTTTTCATCTGTATCGGGTAACTACTCTTATAAATGCATTTAGATTAATGGAAAATGAATGATAAATTTGAATTACTGACTAAGAACGCTGAATTTGTGAGACATTGTAGAGCAAGCGCCATGAGCGCCCACCAGAGGCGGATATCGGCGCTATACTAGAAGCCACCTCTATCAAAACCACCATCAACATCACCACCACCCAGGGGCGTATGCAGGATTTTTTCAAGGGGGGGGGGGGGTTTAAGATCTGGCCCAAAATATTTTTGCTCCCGAAAATTTGAAAATCGCGCCGGCCGAAAAGTCGCTCAGTGGGGGGGGGGGGGGGGGGAAGCGGACACTTTTTTGGGGGGGGGTCTCGAAAATTTGACATTTTTTTCGTTGGGGGGGGGGGGTAAGGTCACTTTACGTTAGCCGTGGGTATATATATTTTTTTTTTTAATTAAAAAAAAAAAAAAAAAAAAAAAAGGGTTTTTTTTTTTATAGTTTTTTAAGGGGGGTTTACACACATAAAAATACCAAAGGGGGGGGGGGGGTTGAACCCCCAAACCCCCCCCCCTGCGTATGCCCCTGCCACCACCATCATCATCATCATCATAATCATCATTATCATCATCATCATTTTGTTTCTTTTTTAAGTTGCCTCCCTACTATCATTTCCATGTTCATGCTTTATTTTATTGTATTCATATTATTCTCCATCTCCATTCTTCTCCATGCTTCTCCATCTTACGCTCTCTCTGTCGAAAACCTACCACAATATTTCAGGCATTCAGACAATTCTACCGCTTTCAGTTGATATAATTCAATACGTTCATTCCATAATTGCTCCCATTCCTGAAGTTTAATAGATCGACGGCAGGTGTATCCGCGTATTGAAAGTGAAATTATTTTACCTTGGGAGCACATTAAATTCCCGTTGAAACATATCCCCTAATGATCGCTCAAAACGGGAATCTATATGTAATGCACCTACAATTATTATGTGCTATCAATCACAGCGAAAGCAAAACTAGAAGTATTGCTTTGTCGGGTATCAAAAGTAAATGACAACACAGGATTAACATTGATTTAGTACTGAAGATTTTAAACCAAATTCAGGGAATGTTTTTTGGTTTCTCGATTTCTTTGCGCGCACATGAATTGAATACCGTGATCACTTCTTCACTTTCAGCCTTTCCCCTTTCCAGACACACCTTCACATACCACTGCAAACGACAATCACATGTAAGATATCAAGCCAATACATCAACAGGATTCGAAAGTGGAGGTTTATTTAAGGAAATCTTTCGCAAAAATCAGGAAGACTTTATTCGCATGCATAGTCTCTCAAGTGATTACATTTTTCTTGTTACCCCCTTGAGAGAGAGAGAGAGAGAGAGAGAGAGAGAGAGAGAGAGAGAGAAAGAGAGAGAGAGAGAGAGAGAGAGAGAAGAGAGAGAGAGAGAGAGAGAGAGAGAGAGAGAGAGAGAGGGGGGGGGGGGCGTAACCACGTGTATCCGCAAGATCCTGAGAAGATTACATGGTTAGCCCCTTTCATTCTTCTCCTAGAAGTTTACCCTGTGAAACATTCTGTGATCGATGAAACTGTACACCGAAATAATCTGAATCATTTTCATCGCCAATCTGTCCTAAAAGAATGAGTCAACTGCTACACTGGTATTTCGTACAACAACTTTCCCCGACAAATGATGTAAAACATCCCCACCCCCAAACAAACAAAAAACATCAACAAGAACAACAACAAACGAACAATGAAAAATGTTAGGTTTATTAAAGGGATGTCACAGTTACATTATCTTTAATAATGTCATTGAAAATACTTTATTTCCAGACAGGTTTAATGTTGTAGTGAGAATGTAATATTGAACTTCTGATGTTTTAAAATACATTTGTGTTTGTTTGTTTGTTTGGTCCATGATCAGGCTTCCGATGAGGTACATGACGAGAGCCATTACCTGCCCGGGGGACAGGAGACAGTATCAAACATGTAACACTGAGGTATACTAAACTACTTAAAAGTCTCTCTTATTTCATTTATTATTATTTTGTAGCCTATATATATCTGCTAGACTTTAATGAAGTCAAGAAACAAAACACTCCAAACAACTTGAATGTAATGTTATACTCAGATTAATAATCTATATGTAACACATTTAACGATGTAAACCTGGGCCCCCCGTCTTAAGAAGGGTTGCGATTGATCCGAATTTATCGTAGATCCTTCAGCTCATCGCATGCTTGCAAACTCCTATCTATTTAGCTCAGGGTTGCGACTGATACCAAGTTATGATCAAATTTTATTCAATCGCATATGTTTCTAACACAGGGCTCTGGCGCGATACTCGTCCAGCTGATTATAAAAAGGTATTTTTAGAAAAATACATATTGAGTAAATCAGAAAACAAGATTCCTTTAATGATTCAGCATAAAGATACAATCACAGTTCATTGACAATAAAACGCTCTTATACGGCCGTCTTGCGGGCAGAGGGTGGAGCCCTTTAATTTGCTCTTGATATATTCACTATGAACATGACGGACAAAGAAAGAGGACAAAATAAACAGTTCCTCAGGTAGACAAAGGAACATCCTTTCACTGCTAAAATGTACAAATGAGTAGAACAGGTGAATATGCATGCTACACCTGTTCTACACGTTTATATAATAGCAGTGAAGGGATGTTCCTTTGTCTACCTGAGGAACTGTATAATTATTTGTCCTCTTTCTTTGTTCGTCATATTCATAGTGATTGTTAACCCATTGACTACTGCGAAATATTAATTAATTAATTAATTATTTATTTATTCATGTCCTCTTTAAAAAGTAGGGTGGGTCATTCTTTTAAAAAACACTGCTTTGCAATGACACCCTGCTGCAACATACGAAATACATGAGAAAAAGAAAACGATGTTTAACTTCACAAATAATAAGTGCTATGATATTCTAACAAGTGACAAATGATATCCTCTATCCTTCGTATCTGGTATTCATAGGAATGTCCCGATCATCATCTGGACTACCGATCTGCTCAATGTGCTGTCTTCAACCAGCGTGATGTCCAGGGGAATATAATCAGAGAATGGCTTCCAGTATACAACTGTAAGTATTCACATTCATTTTGAAAGATTGTTGGTATATCCTATTAAAGGCACGTGCATGGACAAAAAACTATGAATTCCTATTGCATTCAAAGTTGAAAGTTTGCGATCCAAAGTATACTAAATTCTGCAGACCTTCCCACCCCCACACCCCTGCCTTGTATGCCTGGTATGACGGCGTGACTGTTACACCATGCAGGTATCCAAATATCATTGTGTAGAGCAAGACTTTGATTTATTAATACATGGTTTGTTTTCTAAGGAAGGAAGTAGCAGAACGTTTAAAGTGTCGTTCTTAATTATGTTAAGCCCCCCCCCCCCTTTGTAAAAGCTTGAATGAAAACAATATCAACTGAGAAGTTTACACCTCCATTTATTATACCCAAGTCATCTTGAAGATTTCCGGTTTTGAAACATTTCAGTTCCCCCAATTCCCCTCTTGAAGTAAGTCAAAAGGCACGGTAAAAGCACATAATCACGTACTCAGAATAAGTTTATTTCGTATTACAATTTTCAAGTGTTATCTGATTTCAAAGGAAAATTCAATTTCAATTGTTCAAATGATCAATGTGTAAAAAATGTCACGATGCAGAATAGCAGCAGTCAAACTAATAGTGCAGAATGCAGGTGCATGCAAACTGCCTCTGAAAACTGACCTCCATTTTAGGAATTGATTTTGACAGAATTTTTTTTTTAGGACTTACCTTTCCTTTTTTCTTGCTTTGATATTTCGTTTTCCATGCAATCAGTGATGAAATTCAAAAGGCCGGTTATGTTTCAAAAACCATTTAATGGCCTTGATTTCATGTCACTGTGCCTGGAGAAAATTAGAATCATAGTAACATGCGCCAAATTGAAAAGGGAAAGGAATTTTTCATGTTTGTAAGTAGGTTAATCCATTTTGTGTTTAATACTCATGAGCATTAAATTTCATTCAGGAGTTGTGTACCATAGTAATCCATCAAAAATATAACCAGTCAGGTCAAACGAGTACGCGATCTTTCAAAAATAAATAGTTGCACCTACTTTACAGGGACAGCGAGGGGGGATGGGGGGGGGGGGGGGGGGGTTCGTGCCTCTTATTCGGGGTTACATAACAAATGCCCCTTTTGCGAGAAAAGTACCTAAATAAGAAAATACCCCATCCGCGGAGATGAGATAAGATTTCCCATCGTCCCTATTGTTGTACCGTGATTTAATACAAAAGGGGTATTCCTCTTCGTCACAAAAAATGTCCTTTCTTTGATAGGTATATTCTTTTTCGGTTTCCATACCGTATCGTAGTGACGATCACCAACCAATGAGACCTAATTAATCAACCCTAAAATATTCACTTTATGCTCCTGAATGTTCCTCCCCAAAAATAAAAACAAATCAAATCAAAACCACCCCACTTTGAACAACGCTCCGCAGCCCCTCTTTAAAAACTATGCAGCACGTCGAATTGTATACACAATAGTTGTGATCAATATTTAAGAAAATGATTTGCTATTTAGGTCAGCATGATTCTACTCCCGTTTCTCACATCTATTCATCTGTCTGTCTTGTTTTGTTTTTGTCTGTGTTTCAGTCCTGTTGCTCGTAGTATATTCCTGTTTCTCTTGTCTATATAGCCATTATTTAGTAGTCAGTAGATTTTATTGTACTTATTTATGTTTATATTTTCTCAATTGTTAAGTTAGTTTAGTTTGTAAGCATTTAAATGTAACGCCATATTCTGTTCACTTGTTATATTCATGTCATATTTGTGATGTGTGTTATGAAAGAAAAATACATAAAACTTGAAACTTGAAACTTGAAACACTTGAGGTGGGAAGTAAGATTTTGACGTCCTTGGTTATTGTGCCGTTAAGGTTTCCTGAGTACTCCTGGGCCATGATTGTTAAGAAAGTGAGAAACAATTCCATTTATGGCAAATAAAAACTGTATTGAGTACAGGTGAGATTTCAGGATCTGTACCATGATTTTAAAAGATAAGGTTGGCCTGATGACGCAAACCGAGTTCTCCATGGACTCTATCGACAATCGTCTTTGCCTTGCAGGAAAACCCCATTCAATACTAATTATATTTCACTTAATAAAGGACCTACTTAAAGAGCTTTCACATTATCACCTGAATTATATCAAGTATAACCGGTTTCGTAGTGATGTCGAAGTTTAGTGGATTAAACACTTGATTAGAGATGCGAGCCCCGGCGCGGCACTAATGACCTTTTGACAAATACAATTAATGAAATACCGGTAGGAAGGTATTAATTGAACTGAACGCCGAAATCGGTAGCCTATATAGCCTGTAAAACTTGAACACTTTGAGCAGCTTGCCTAGTGGATTTGAGCGCTATAAAAAAAAAATCAGCAATACTTTTATTAATTATTCTTAATCATAGTTTTCTTTCAATAGGAAGAGGCGTAACTAACGTTTCAATATAGCTAGCCCCGTTAGCTAACCATTCTTTAGCTCTCGTGGGCACACAGTGACATCTCAGTCTGTCTTATTTACGGCTGACAGGTTTAATTACTACAACATAAAGTCCAACTGTGTAACGGTGTTTGGTCTTAATAATGATCCCATAAATATTTATTTTTCTTAATCCCGTTACAGCTCAAGAGGAATGTGAGTTAGTATGCCATACATCTGATGGAGCTTACATGTATACATTCGGCAGAGTACTGGATGGAACGCGTTGTCGATTTGAGGATCGGGACATGTGTATCAGTGGAAAATGTGTTGTAAGTTTATAATAATACAGAATTATAAGTAAAAAGCAAACCAAGCAGTGATAGAAAAGTCCATTCGTTCCAAAATATTGTTATCATCTGCTATTCAGAGTATAAAAGAAGATTCGGTTGCACTGGTGGGGGGGGGGGGGGGGGGGGGGGGGGGGGGGTGGGTACACCATCCGTTTTTCAATCAACAAATAACCTTGATTAATATGTTTTTCTAACATTTGATCAATTTAAACCTTTGCAGTTCAGTCATAATGCTTTCGGATATCTCTCTTCTGAATCTTATCTTTCTGTTTTTGACATAGAAAGTTGGATGTGACGGTGTGCTACACTCCAATCTGACTAAGGATTCTTGTGGTGTATGTGGAGGACTCAACGATACATGTGGATACGTGAGAAACGTATACACTGATGAATATCCAGTCAAAGGTAGGTTACATGAGACCTTAATGCTCTCACAATAAAACGAAAAAAAGAACAAGAATATAACTTGTGTTATACGTACACTCTGCCTTTAAAGCTATGGACAGCTTTATTATAATTTAAGTTAAATCTATGAAATTTACTAGCCTATTGTGGGGGCAAACATTCATCATTCAAAGAATAATTTTGTTCATGCCCAATTATTTCGTTCTACAAAAGGTATAATCTCACTGATAAAACGATGCTAACGCTACAAACTGCCCGTATTAGTAGTCTAGTGTCTGTATTATCTTTTATGTTTTGTGTTCAACAATGTGGCTTTCAACGAAATTATGATAACAGCCGTGTAAAATGATGAGCCATATTTTTCATTTCATTTATTAACCTAGGCTACTACAGATATAGCAAGATTGGTTCGATACCAGCTGGAGCTACTAACATCAGGATCAACGATAAGAGTGGACTCAATTACATAGGTTAGTATCATGATAATGAGCATGATCACAAGAATTACTTCGCCCGGCCCCCTCCCCGTATCCGTGATGAATGCTCACAATTTACACCTTATTGCTATGACGACACGAACATGCAAGGGCAGGTCGATATTATTTGGTCATTGTGTGTCTCACAAGTCATGTTACCAAGTATGTGAAGCTAAGCAAATCAGAGTGAGTTCTCAAAGCACTTAACAAAAGTAACATACATATATAGAGAGCAGACAATCAGGATAAAAGAATTTCAACTAAATGTGTAATTGCATATCATATCATTCTCTTCACATCTGGTCTTTCACTTATTACAATGATCATGGATGCTAACAAAATTGATGTGATCGGTATAGCGTATGGAACAAAATTGCTTGGATTTTTCCGTGACACAATTCATTTGTTAAAAATTGGATAGAATTGGATAAGGAGAGATAAATGATACGCATTACTCAATGATGGTACATCATCATGGCTATCAATTGTGTTCCAAAATATAATATGGCATGGCAATGCATGAAAAAGGAGGGTGGTTGCTGACGTTATAGGAAGAGAGAGGGCCGTTAACTTACAAAAACAAACACTAACAAACTAAAAACAAAGCAAAACAAAACAAAAATCACAAAAACAAACACCCCTAAAAACAGATATATAAAACTTTCGTTTGACTAAAAACATTTGCAAATTATTTTGGTGAAAGTAAACCTAATACTTGATTGTGAATGCCATGCATTCCTACAAAAGAAGTATATTCCGAAAATTCCTCATTACTTCTTATTCTGATAAAACTCTTGAAACACACTTTCTTCTCTTTCACAGCTTTAAAGGACGAGTCGAATAATTTTATATTGAATGGCGATTGGACTATCAGCTGGCCTGGAAGCTACGAAGCGGCTGGTACATCTATATTATATGATAGAAAGAACGATGGATTGGAAAATGTGATTGCGGATGGTCCTCTAAACAGTTCACTAAACCTCATGGTACGTACCCACTTGTTCACCTTACATCATAATAACATATTTAACATTATCGTTATCATTGCCCTTGCCTTTTTAAATTTGTACATTACACTAGCAATTCATTTGTTCTCTCAATTTCGGTCCGAAAAAGGTTGTCTCATGTTTTGTTTTGAAGGATTAGGTCACTATGCATTAAATTAGGATTATTTACATGCATTTTAAGTTTTAACACCATACACACTTTGATACTTTGATACATTTTAAGTATATTATTTGTTATATTTTCTACAGTTATTGCCCTGTTATATCATGTATTTGTTGGATATTTCGGCAATACAAAGGGAAAATATCAAAGTTATGTTGCTAAATGTATACCAATGGCTAAATCTGCTGTCTTGTTTATGTACAATAAGTTTTACATTATCTATTTATCTTACAATTCTTCACATACAAATAAAAAAGTAGTTTTATGCATTTCTGTATGATATCAAAGTAACATAGGTTCCTCACAATCAATGGCAAACATCATTTGGTAGCTATTCGTATTCCATTATGATAGTTTGATCACGTATTATTTTCTTTGAATGCTTCATTTTGGTTCGCCCTTTACAGATCATATTTCGAGAGCGTAACCCCGGCGTGGAGTACGAATATTGGCTTCCACCGAAGACTAATGACAATGAAATACACAGCATCAACTATAACAATGAGATACAGATGCTTCCATTCATACCAGAGCTATCTGCAACACCAGAAAAGAAGAAATTTGGAACAATGGGTATGTTTACCTTTAATGATCTTTGAGATTAAAAACAAGAAGCAGTTGGGGGGGGGGGGGGCTCATGCCACTCACAATTATTTTGGGGTCTCCAAACATTTTCCCCTGAATTTAAGAGAGGCCCTAGTAGAATTTGAATACGCGGAAGCTTTGACGTTTTATTAAATTATTAGAGAAAGAAGACGATTCGTATCTAAATTCAGTTTCTTTTGACGTTTTATAAAATTATTAGAGAAAGAAGACGATTCGTTTTACCATTCTCAACTCTAAATCCTTGTCTGAATTCAGTTTCCCCACTCCCGCGCAAAGCACCGAAGCTTTGACGTTTCATGAATTATTAGAGAAAGAAGACGATTCGTTTTACCTTTCTCGACTCTTAATCCTTTTTCTTCCTACGTCCTCTGCCTTTCTTCTTTTTCCTCTCCTTTTTTTTTGCCGGCGTTTTTTTTGGGGGTGACCGCCCCCACCCCCTCTCTGGCTACGCGCCTGAACTAATTAACCCCTGTGCATGCACCACCGACACACTGTCCCTTCTAAACAGGGTAGGGAACGATTGTATTAAAAAGGTATAGCAATCGCTTTATATATTTGTCCGGGGATGATCGTTCATAATAGAGTATTATTTTATTCTGAGGGTATTTTTTTCCAATTATGCATGGAATCTGATGCAAGAAAGAGAAAATATATGGGCCTTCTACAATCCGAACTATTACAGACCCATCCTTCTCATAATATTTTGATTGTTTATAAAATATGAACAGAGTCGACGAATAAAAAGCAAGTGCCTCAACCAGAAGAAACTCCGCCATCTTCACCAGCACGTGATGAGAAAAGACCAGCATTAAAGAGTTCTGATAAACAGACTAAAGGAAAGAACAAGAACAACAAATCAAGAAAAGGTGAGAACTCATATCAGCATAGAATGGAGCATGTATAGGCGACAAATAGGATATGTAATGTATATGAAAGGAATAATGGTAGATACTTTCCACTGATAAAAATCCATGTTTTTATAGAAAATAAAATAAAACACAAAAAAGCATACAAACAAATAAATAAAGAGAAAACGATCCTTTAGATGTATTTTGGTTGAAACTTTCCTGGTAATTTTTAACGATTACTGTCACCATAATTATTACTGAACAAACATCCACAGAAAAGTCTACTTATCTCTTGCAGGCAAACAAGATGGTTAAGGATGACACTGTCGAAACAATTTCTTATAAACACCATTTTTTGATAATATTTATTTGTTATTTGTTCTTCTTTTTTGTAATGTATTGCTCTTCTCCTCATAATGTTTTTATTTCTTCTCTGTCATTTGCACTTTCAGAAAAGTGCGGTAAATGCAAACGGGTGAAAGGCCGCGCAGAGCACTATTGCGGAGGGTCATATGGTGAGCATCTGTTCAGGTTTTATTCTGCATGTTACTATTTATTTAGCATTAAAAAAGAAGTTCGTTAATAAACAGTCGTGATTGTTAAATCATTTTGACACGTTATTCCTGTTTATCAGCTATTATTCATCATCATCATCATAAACCATTAAAACACAAATTATTTCCCATCTAATTTCCAGCAATCTTATTCGAGGTGGTCGGCCAGACAGCGATCAACGGTGAAACGCGGTACGACGTCGCCATCGAGGAGAGCTTCAAGAACAACATGCAACTGAACCGTCGCGAGTATCTATGGGTCACCAACTCATGTCCCTGCCCTAAGCTTCGAACAGGCAGTCGATACATCTCAACAGGTGATCGAGTCACAAGCCTCGAGTCAGGCGAGAGTAGACTTACGTTAGAGCGGGAAAACTTGGTCGTAAAGTACAAACCAGGATTAAGAGAATCTTGGAATCGTCTACAGAGGAAAGAAGAGTCAATTTGCTCTAAATTCCTCTGAAAATGGAAAGAAACTGTATAACATGCTGCTAGGATATGATGCAAATTGATTTGTTTACTTCTTGTTGATGTGCTCAATATCATCATAATACTTGAGAAACCACCCTGATTTGATGTGCCTCTTCCATGGTGAAAATGGTTATTTTATTTTATCTTCTGGATTAGATCTGTATTTCTAGAATTGCTTTTCATTATTTATCGATCAATCGTTGTACAGAACAAAAAATAAACATATGGTAAATATGTAATTACTGCAACAAGCCATCTATCAATAGTACTCTGAAATATGCAGGAAATGCAAAGTTTCATAACTCCAAAGGTTTTCTGCTATATTGGAAATTAATGCAAAAATCATAGAGGGCTATTTCTCATTCTGAAAAGTGTTCACTGATTTTCATTTGATTGTACATATACAAATGAAGAATGGTTCTATTTGCTGAAGATAGTAATTTCTCTTATTGTTCTTCGAACATTACATATTTTGTCGAGCTAAGATTTCAGTTTCCATAAAAAACAAGTTCATCTTGCTTCTGGTGAGCTATCATTCTTTCCTCAAAAGGGCAATTATTATTATTATTATTATTATTATTATATCATCACATAAAATATCTACTGATATATCAGAGGGAACTATGAGTCAATTATCGTATCATGAGATTTTCATTTTTGGATGAAATAAATGAAAAAGCAAAACATGCATGGGACATAATGTAGGGCATTGCCCAAAATCTCATTTCTGAAATAATCAAATTGTTCATATGACAATCATTACAAAACCACAAATAAAGGCTCGGAAAGGAAAGATGAGTTTTTTTCAAATTTAATATCAATAAATTGTTTGTAGAAATCATCATCTTCTGTAGATAAATAAAGTATGACTCAATAGAAAATTTCCCACATTGATCAAGCAATTTATTGTTTCCCCACTCAAATCAGTGATTATAATAGAGTACCTTTATATACAATTCATCTTCAAAAGCATTCAAAATCATTTCAAATATTGGATTTGTAACTTCTTGTTTGATACGTAAATTCATCCAAACCGACAAGAATCAAAAGGAAAAATTGCCCCTTTAAAAAGAAGAATATGAACAGTTATATCAGCATAACTAGTACAAAACATTCTAGTGCTGTAGCCCGGAAGGCTTACCGGGTTCCAACCCGCCGGGTTGAGCATTTCGGGCCGGACCAGTTCCGGGCCGAACTGCAGCAAGAATTGGATCAACTCGGTAACAAAACCCGGCAGTAAAAAAGAGTTTTTAAATAGCTCATTGTTTGTTATCTACTTATCTTTCATCACGATAAAACCTTCAAAAGTAACTGTAAACAAACAGCATGATGGCTCGATCTTTTACATCTGTTGACCTGTCTTTGCAATAGACACTGGGTCACACTGCACACATAGATTTTGTGTTGTGTGTTCAAGTGTGTATATGTATCTCACTGGCCCTGCCTGCAATTGATATGACTGATCAGCTTACTGTACTGACCAATCAGAAAGTTTCCCCCAAAGGGGCGGAGAGTGAAACCAGCATAAATTAAAGTTCAGTGATTGCTGGCACAGAACAGACGATTCATAAATTATGAAGTTTGTTGACCTAGCTGATAGACAGTGAGTGGCAAATCTACATAATGTGTATGAGAGTGTGTATGTGAAAATTTGTTATGCTTGAGGTGGAGGCTGAGCTGAGATGAAGTCGACAGAGAGTTAAGTTAAATTAAAGAGTAATTCCATCACCCAAATACTTCCTGACAAACGGATTTAATTAGCAAACAATCATTTAGCTAATTTGTTGTCTCAAGATAATTATTGGGGTCCATCCTCTCTCTTATTCCCCTGTCTCTAAATTGAACAATTTTTTTTTTAGCCCAGATTAGAAGAATAAAGGAAGAACAAAAATGATAAGTTTGTGAAATGTTGATAGTATTTAGAGATGAGAAGGAAAACGATGTTATCTTCATCATCATTCTTCCTTCCATCTCTACCTTTTTTCAATTCTATTTATTTATCTTCCGAATGTGTTTTAAACCTCCCCCCCCCCCCTCAAATCAATTTGATCTTCTTTCTTAAAAAAAAATAAAAGTACAGAATTATTTACGTAATGTAGTTTTTCTCATTTTTTCTTTTCTTTCTTAAGTTTCTTTCATTGTGTCTCTCGATCCCCCCCCCCCCAAAAAAAAAATTCATTCACATCTGATTTATCTCTTTCACTATCATGTCGCAGAAATTTAGAATACAAAAACACTCCCTGTCAAAGATTAATGCATGCCAGACAGCTTGGGCCCAACTGGGTGTAACATTACACCGCGGTTTCTTTGAACAGGGTTCAAAGGTTCAAAGGTTCAACATGCAGCCTTTGTCCAGCTAGCGTTATCGCGCACATTCCAAATATTATGCAAATATCAGTTAAGCATGTAGCATGTGCCTACATGTGATCATTGTCTTAATTGGCAGACAAACAGACCAATCATAGTAGAGCATCTTGTATGGGCACTCTGACAGGGAAATGAGCTATTTTTAGGATGCCTACATACATGTAGCTAGCCTTATGCTTCATCTTTTTAGGGAGTGGATTAAGGGTGATAATTTATGCAGATCGACCTGGGACTTATGTCTGGACTCACAGACAGCATGATAAACAAAATGAAGCGATGTGCCCTCTATTCAGGACAAGGTCGGTAGATCACACAAGATGTGTTTGTAGTAGCTTTCAAATAGAATCTAGTCAATATTATTTCAGTCCAACTCTCACCGGGTTACCGGACCTTTCCGGGTCCCGTTAAGAAATTTGGAAAATTGCCGGGTCGGGCCGGGTCCGGGTTTTGGGTTCCGAGCTACAGCACTAACACAGTGCCTCATGTAGATACCAACAAGAACAATACAATTACACAAGCTGTAAGGCAGAGTTGGGATATTAGTGCCTACATCGACTTTGATTTGTATATAAGAGTTGTACAGATTTCTATACTTGTTATTTTGTATGACATTCTTTTGTGAAGTGTACATATATGTTTTCAATAAAATAAAAGAGAATGGATTCACTGAAGATAACCGAGTACTATAATCTTTGATTTACAGTTGGTGATTTTAAATCTAATGCTACATGTACAACCAATTATACATTGTTAAATTATGCGGTCACACCTGTATATTAAGACTGCTCAAGAGACAAGAAAAGTGGTCTTTATACCTGGTAGGCAGTTTTTTTAGTACACATTTCAAAGAGAAACACTGTTCAAGGAAAACAGAAAATGTCTTTATAGACGGGTTGTCTTTCTATACAAGTGGTCGCTAACGCACGTTTCACTCTCTATCATGATTTCCAACGTTTGAGCCTGTCTCCAATAAAAAAGAGGTTTTCAGTGTTGTAAAGAAGATTGTAAAGAAGGCTTACTAGGTAAACTATCAAAAGCTTGTAGCTGGGATGGGTGTACCTGCACTTAAGAGCATGGAAACTAAAATACCTAGAGAAGCCTAAAGCTCCACAGCTCTTCCTATACAGTGGTGTGAAATTTAACAAAATTTGACCAAAAAATTACAAAATGGCACATGAAATGCTTATTAAGTACTGATTTAAGTACTCCAAATGGCAATTTGGATTGGTGTCTATACTAACTAGTATCGAACTCATACATATGTCTGCCCCACTTTATTCTTGCAGAAAATTAGTCAGCCTATTTGACATTTCAGTAAAGCTACTTGGCTAAAATATGTTAGAATTAATAAAAACAGTCGGATTGACCCTCTTCCCAAATGAACAATCATATCTAACTCAAATTTTAAGCATATTTGATATCAAGTTCATCATGTGAAATATTACATGAATATACAATATACATAATTCAGCATATTTTAACACATATTGAGTAGTGATGATGGAAAATTGCACAAAGATGTTATTTTTTTCAAAAATATAACTATTGGTATTAGAAACTTGAATGCCATGAACGTGGCTTAAATATATATATATATTCTTGCACACTTAGCACAATGTAGTTATATAGAACCTAAAACACAGAAGGCATGAGGAAAATGGATAAGCAGATAGAGAGAGAAAGAGAGATGAGCCAGAGAGAGTGAGTGAGAATGAGAGTGAGAGAGAGATAGAGAGAGACAGAGTGACTGAGTGAAAGGGAGAGATTTTGTGAGAGACAGACAGAGACAAGAAAAGAGAAAACAAGGTAGTAGGAAACTGACATCGACTGAGAGAGTGCGTAGCATTTACCCTCACAGTGCCCTTGAAAAAAAAGACTCTGTTACAATGCTTGAAAGAATTCAAAGTAAAGATGCCTTCTACATTTAAATTGTATAAGTGCAGTACATCAAACAAGAGATACACTTCCTTGTAATTAATTTCAGTACACAGTTGGCTAACTATATAGGGTAATATTATGTTTGTTGTTGTTGAGATAAACATTAATGCCCTTTTTTTCCTCAAAATCATTGTGGAATGATTTTAAGATTAGATTAAATTCTATCATGGAAGTTAATAACTTGAATTAGATTTGAGAGAAATACTTTATATCAAAATCAGCTTCATTCTCTAAATATATCATTACTACAAAACTTATGATCCTTAGTGCAACCAATCACTAGAGGTGTTATGCTAGTAGTACTTTGTTTAGCATAACAGCTCACAAAACATTACACAAATTATACATTTCATATATCACATAAGTACCACAACAATAGAGTACATCTACATTTACATATATTTCTCAATGCATGTACTGTTTTCACACAAATAAGTATACACCTTTAGCGATAAATAGGAATACAATAGCTCTATGATGCATTAAACATATTTCTAATTGGTATAATTATGACAATGATGTACCATCTACTTTACACAGGTTCCATTATATGTGAATACAAGGTTAATATTAAAGTTGCCATAACAAGTTATATCCAAAACAAACAAGATATAGATCAAGAAGCCAAGGCAGAGTAACAGTAAGGATAAAAAAGAAAGAAAAAAGGAGATGAAGTACATATATGTTTCTATATCAAGGGGCAGTCTACAATAAACATAAACTGGTACTCATGTTTTTAATACCTTAACCAGTTTTAAGTATTTTCAATACTGTTGGTTTCTTTGTGTGTCTTTATAAATGTTGCACTTTGGATATAACCCATACGCTAATATAATTTGATATCAACATGTGCAAATTTCACATCATTTATATTTCATCTTATGATCCATCATAATTTATATTGATAATAAGTGATGTTTAATTTGAAATGAAAAGGATCATTAAAAAATGAAATACAAAACAAAAAAACATTGCCTCGATATCAAGCTACATCCGTTCATTTTCTCTTATCACATCACATCAAATAGTTGTTGGTTTTGATATCAACCCACTGCACAGCATAAAAAAGCAAATATATCATTCAGCCAAGCATTTTCCCCATTTCACTTTGTGCATAAAAAATAATTTTTAAACCATAAAAGCCTACAACATTTACCTTGAGAATGAGTGGAAAAGTATTTATACCAAGCAAGTATTCAGAGCAAACAATTTCAGTACTCTCTGTAAGCGTATCTATACTTTGTCATATCATATCATTTAAGTCTATTGAGACACTGATTAGAATGAAAGACTGTTGATTTATCAGAGGTATGATTCAATCCTTGAGAGACAATGATTCCAAAAATAGAAGACAATATAAAAATATACCAGAGAATCAAAGGAGTTATTTATCATAACTGAGTTCTGTACTACATGTACATACAAAATAGTGAAATAAAAAAAAGTATCAAAATATATGTGGACCATGAAATTTGGTCTGAGGCAATTCACCATCAACAAAGTGATTGACAAAAAAAGTAATAGATCAACAAATGTCTGATTACTTCTATTTTTCACAATTGTGTTGAATAAGTTCAATCGTTGATCCTTATTTCTGTATAATCAGAATTATCCTGAACTAAATTGAGAATAGTGCTATGTACATAGAATTGTTTGATATAATTCACACACATTTGTTCATTCAAGTTCAAAATTTTGCTTCAAAATATTCTTTGATCAATCAACAGCATAATTTAATACAATATGACAAATTTTTACTTTCTTCAATAAAAAAGATCATATACCTTAGCTTTCATTGACAAAAATGAGAAATCAACTTCACTTCAATAAAAAATATAAAAAACAAGTAAGTACCTTCAATTCAATTTAAAAAATGTCAGAAAAGTCAAATTAGGGCAGCATTTGTTCACAAATGTAAGACTTAAATACAGAAATATATGATAAGATAACAGTACTCATCAATATATCAATATCGATGTACATGTAGTTAAATATTTCAATTAGCACCCACACAATCGAAAGGACTGATCGTTGATAAGATAAATATAGTTCTATCCTCAAACTACATCTAGGCTTTCCTTATTTCCTTCATTTTGCTGTTCACTCATGGGTGAAACACCCAAATTGAATTAAATATATTCTAGATGTCCCCATTTTCATTCTCTTTTTTCTCTCCCATCTGTTATAGTCTGTCCCCCTCCTCTCTCTCTCTCTCTCTCTCTCTCTCCCCCCTCCCCATGACTCCCCCTCTCTTTCTATTTCTGTTTCCAGCACTACATGCTTTTTCTCTCATTGCGTCTGTCTGACTCCCCCTCTCTTTCTCACTTTCTCTCTCTATTTCTACTTTTCTCACTACATGATTTTCTCTCACTTTATCTGTCTGTTTCCCCTCCCCTCCACCATCTCCCCCCCTCTCTCCCCCCCCCTCCTCTCTCTCTCTCTCTCTCTCTCTCTCTCTCTCTCCTCACTTGATATATTCTATGTATTCTATATATTTTTGCACTCTTACAATCTCCAATCCAACTTTGTGCATACATGTACATTCGTTTGCAATATATTTTTAAGTACTAACAAGTTTCTTTATAATAAAAACATTTCCTGAAAATGATGGGGCGCTTCTCTATTAGTGTTCTGGCATGCTAAGAAATTGACCAAGTACCAGGATATGAAGGAATGGCAATCACAAAGGTGTACTCCTGTGACGGGCTCTTCTTCTTCTTGATCTCCTGAAAGAAGATTTAAAAAACAAACAAACAAGATAATAAGTATATGACAAATTTGTTACAGTCCTCATACATGGTTGAATTGTACATACATTTAGTTTACATCATTGAAATATATATAGACATATACAGTCAAACCTGCTTTAGTGACCACCTGTCTACAATGACCACCTGAGAGGCATACTTTTTTGTTATGAGAAAATATTTAGCGACGACTCAGCCGGCCGGCTGAAAAGGCGGGGGGCGAAGGGGTAGTGAGCACTAATTTTTTTGTTTTTGTTTGGCCCAACTGGGGGGGGGGGGGAGGGGAAGGGGAAAGGGGGGGGGGTGGGAGGGGGAGGTCTCATGCTGTATAATACTTTCCAATAAAATCATAACCTTCAAAATGTTTTTCTTCATTGTCTTAATTTTCTTTCCTTAATGTTCTATCTTTACAATGTCATGACATGAGCATTTATCCTGCATCTCTCTCTCTCTCTTTCTATCTCTCTGGATATCAAAAAACAAATGCATGTTCTTTGCACAATATATAGTGAAATGCCAGGACATTAAACAATTACCATTAGTCCCCCCCCCCTCCTCCTCCCCCCCCCCCCCCCTTGAAGATATTCTGATGAGCCTTACCAACCTATCTGAATACCCAGGAATTTTAACAATGAAAGTTCTCCCTTTTACTTCTAGGCTCCATCTTATAGAAAGGCTGTACTGATCTAAATAACTGCCTCTTGAAAGGAGACGCACAATCAATTTAGATCATAAAATGGTGTTACTGGGTGGCAAGACATATATCATGATAATATAGTTGGTTATCTTGGTGATTTGAATAAATAAATAATGAACATGAGATGTGAATTTTGAGGAGATAAGCAAGCAAGAACAGAGATTGATGGTGATATATCTAGTTGCTGTAGTAATAAATGTTAAGACATTATGTATAAAAAGCATATGGTTTGTCTACATTTTACAGCATACAAAGACTAAAGAACAAGATTATAAGCTGAGCTACATTACAAGAGCGCATGAGAGTGAATGTGTTAATAATGTATTTACTCACTGTGGGTGAACTACATGTAGAGCATGCATTATAACATGTCTAACTACCTATTAGGCTCTTCATCAGGATCAGGATCACTGCGACACATGATGACAATGACCTTGAGAGCGTAGAGAAGGGCACACACCCAGGCAGAGACAAGACGTACCCAGAAAGGGGGCCACGTTCGGTGAAGGTTCTCTAAAGTGGCATTCTCAGGGCTGGTGGGGTGGAAATATATACCAAGAAAGAGAAGCAAATAATATTGAATAGATAAAGTATTTATGTTATCAAACATAGGAAAAAACTATATTATAAAATATAATTTTTGTTTTATGTAATTCTACAAAAAGAACACAAATCCATAAATTATAATAGTATGCCTATTAAACAGTCTACACAGTTAATAAATCATGCATGACAGGCTCCAGACAGTTTGAAGTGTAAGAAACCCAATTGTCCAAAGTATGTGGATGGCTGATATGTTTGGTTAAGTATGGTTTTCAAAGGAATGAAATCATTTGGGATTACTAATTAATTGTTGATTATCACATTATCTAAAATTGTGTACTCTCATCTTTTGATTGATGCCACAAATATGATGGGAGAATCATGCATGGCACAACTTGTAAGACACATAGACAATGTTCAGCTGCATACTTTTATTTGCTCAAACAAAATGACATTGTGCCTTTCTAATTGCAATGTGATGCCTGGTCAGTCATGCGTATCCTTCAATCATGATTAAGATCTTGCTTGAGAGAAGAAAATAATATGAGCTTTAAAAGGATGTGTATTTTCAATAATGAAAAACACAACAAAAAAAAAATCAAAGTTTTCTGAACCATAATAAACCAAACGTTTCAGCCATCCTCTAATATTTTGGACAACTGGGTTTCTGACATTGCCACTTCAGACTGCCTGTAATCAGTCATGTGGGATTTTTTGAAGTTTTTTGTGTCACATGAAAGAAGAGAAAATGAGTTTTCCAATGATGTGTACATTAACCAAAAAGAAATTGAGATTATCGCATAGTTTCCTTTTTGGGAGATGCCCTGTATATTACATCAATGTCTCTCTTTCTTTCAATAATATTCTTCTTTCTTCAAACGAGTAACTCAACTCACCTGTACCAGTTGGTGAAGGTCATCATGGTATAAAGTGATGCAAGGAGGAATGTAAAATGAAAGAATGAATAGCTGTATACAGTTCCCTCAGCTTCATTTTCAATGGCTCCCCAACTACGATGTGGTCCTGAAAGAAAGAAAGAAGTATAAATGTACTCTTTACATACAGTACACGCCAAAAATCTCTGCAACACGATAACACAATATATTTTTTTGAAAACACATTCTACACGATTCACCTTAATTATGTAACCATGTAATCGTGTAGACGATTGAAGACTGTCGCTCCGAATCGTGTAAATAGTTAAGTGCAATGGTGGGATGATTCGACAAGCTGCAACAAATGCGTAACCATGTAATCATGTAGATTTACAGGATTGAAGACTGGAGGACCATATCAATTGACCGACAGACAGTGATTCAATCTTTTGTGTTCTTAGATTCTCTTTGGAGCAGGGGAGTTAAGAACAATGACAACCTATTATTAAAACTTTAATCAAAACATTTAAATTCCGACAGGATATTGTTTCTTGCACATTTCATTAAGGGCTGCGCCTATTAAAAACATAACATACATGTACAGTGTCATTGTCATGAACTTTGCGATCGATGTCTCGCTTGTTCGCACACAGCCCGATTAAACGATTCAATATCCGTCAACCTGAATTGAGAAATTGTTTAATTTTACACGATACGCGATTCAAATTTCGCTTAATTGGCAAATGACGAATCATGTTTTAAAAAAATGACACAATTCCATCGAGCAATCAAATCGTGTAATCGTGTTGCGGAGACTTTCGGCGTTGATGTGTTTCTAAACTGACACCCTTTGTGGAAGATGGTTTATTTATACCAAGCTTACATTCAATCTTCTTTACAAACAAGCTACTCATGATAGAATTGTCAACATCCCTCTAAATAGAAATGTTAATAGTAACATTAAACTACTGGTATGAAGAAAAGCAAGCACAAGGTTTAGATAATTTACACTAAGAGAAGATGTGAACAACATGTCTGTATCACTTGCTAAGATGCTCCAACATACCTATACACGTAGGTTTGTGACTGCCTTACATGTGCAGGCAAGTCAATTCAAAAGTCATTTCACGGAAAACAATTTTTACAGAAATCATTGCTTGCAAATTAGAATATTCAATTTAGATATCAACTAAAGTACACACAAAGTATGTTGAATAAATCAGCAAAGATGACAACTGATATTGCAAGTAGATAACCAGAGTAAATTACAAGGAAGAGAAGCCTTTTCTGCTGGTAATACAGTGCTTTGGTAACTGCCCATGCATACCTAGCCAATCAGAAAGTGAGTTCATTCCACACTGTTTTAGTCACTTAGCCAATCAGAACGGCATTTACTGTACATCATACTTGATACATACCGTCAACTTCATCCCCATTAGTATCTTTATGGCAGCAGCACCAAAAGTTCTTGTTGGCAGTGCCCTTAAAATACAACAGGATAAAGAAGAATGAAATACATTTGAAGTACCAGTAATACATGTACATGTTTACTACAAATGTACACCTTACATCTTTTTAAAATTCCTGTCTTGTCTATGATATTTGACGATAATGACTTTATGACTTTAAATGTAATCAAAGCCTTGAATTTTCATAACATGCTTTCATAATTAAGTCTTACAATTTACTTTGATGAGATCATTCAAGAAGACTTTTGAGTTCAAAACCTGCTTATACCAATTATCTCCATTTGACAATCTCGGTCACTATTATGGTCCCCCCCCCCCCAAAAAAAAAGAAGAGAGATAAAGATGAAACAAAGAAAAGGAAGGGAGAAATAAAATGTTAAAATACCAAGTGGTCTGTTTAATGAAACTGCAAGACTACTATTTAGTCGATGGGAAGGCTACAAAGAAATTCAACTCTCAATGCTTTATTACATAAACATATAAAACTTGAAATGTTTTTGTTTCATAATGACCATACTGTGACCCCTTAAAAACCACAAATGACATTCCAGACAATTGTGAACTACTGATCATCTAAACAAATATAGACAAACACAAAGCCACATCAACTGAAATGCAACCAAGCATAAACATACATGTAACTACAGGTACATTTAGCATCAAGTATATTGTATAGTATATTCTTTGTACAGGCACTGAAATACATTTAGGTCATGCATTATAGTGTGAGAATGATCAGGGTAGAATACTTGAGATAGGTTCCTTATAAGTTCTTCCTTTAAAAATTATCAAAATAAATAGAAAAGAAAAGAAAAACACCATTCACCATCATATCTGAATTTGACCACAATTTACTAGCCTCTGATATAAGTGCATCTTTTACCTGAAACTGTAGAAAGTAGAATTGTAGGTACCCTAGTGGTATTTTAAATCAAGTATTGGATTTTTTTCTCATTGTTTTTTAGGTCCATGTCCATGTGAATACAACCCCCAGATTTATCTATATCAGTTCCACAAAAGGTCCTTTGCTTTAAACTGTCAAAGAATGTCTATGTGATACAACTACCATTCAGTGCATAAATCATTTCTGATTTTAAAAAAAGAAAAAGAATATGAATGAACTGTTGAATTTGATTGAAAGTGATACATGTATGATTTTCATCCACACAAAATATCTTCTGAGGGATCAAAAAATATAAATCTTTTTCCATATCATGGAAAGTTTTTCTCAGGCAGCTTAGCGAAATGAGTGGACCGAGAAGATGCGTCCGGAACGCAATACAAACGCACAATTGTTGAAAATTACTATTTTCTCGCACACAGGTAGACTTACATCAATTGGTAAATACATGTTCTATCTCGATGAGGCTTCATATTACCTAAACTTACATTCAGATATGTTAAAAAGAACTTCTAATGAGCAAATATCACAAACTATTATGACTCTTGTTCGTTCCTGACATGTCATGTTCTTGCCTTCATCATAACAGTGTATCTATACAAGCACATGTGGTTAGGGAGGCTTTAAATATTTGGTCCATACATCTATATCTAAAAAAGATTCTACAACTTTACCACACATCATACTATGTGCTCAAAATGCTCAGATTGCAAAGCCTCTTTAATAAAGGCCGATATAAAATCACAAGCTACAAGAAACCACTCACTTCTTCATCAGGAACAAATGTAGTGGTTGTAGAGCGTATGCTGCAAATAGTAATGATGATCGTGGCATGCACATGTATAAGCAAGTAAAGAATAAGGAAAACGTGCATAAGATAGAGCAAATAATAGTAAATAATAATCAAAATAAACCAAACAAAATTGCATGTTGCATACAAAACCAAATATTCACAATATACATGTACATTGAGTCTTCCACAAAATAAAATTATAATGATCACACAAACAGATTTGTGTGAAATATGACTGTCTCATATATATTTCTATGGTGACTATTTTACATAACCTACATTTAGCACAAGTATTTCATATCAAAGAGTAGTATTTTATCAAAAGCTAATCTGCCTTTGTCAAGAATCAGTCGGAAATTTATGTTTTACTGTATCTTTGAACTAAAAATGAAGTTCAATAGATAAGAAATTCCTGCTCCCATTCATATTTCAACTAATGAGCAGCAAATGATACAAGTGTACAACCCATTAAGGAGATCAATAATCTATGGCTCCAAGACTAGCTACCATATTCTACCAATTCCTGGCACATCTAGGAAATAAACAACTTTCTATGATATGTAATATAGAGTGTTTCCTTGTCATGCATGAACCATAGTGCTGAATGAGAGGAAATGAAATAAACATCAATGGAATAAACATCAGTGAAATAAACATCAGTGGAAGTGTTGATTAAAGGAACACATGGAGTAGACCACATGTTTACCTGTATCTGTAGAGGTCTAGGCGTATCAGTCATCCTATAGCTGTAAGAACATTCAATCCAACTCATATCATTACTTATCTCTATTAACTGTTTCAAAATAAGTTTTTATAGGTCTATTTTAATAATTCATGTTTATTAATAATTAAGTTAAAATATTAGCAAAACGAAGGGGATGTTGAGATATCAGTCTAAACATTGAAAAATGTTGTACTGTGGTTCATTTTCGGGGCACATTACCTTGGTTTAATTTGCTCATCCCCTTTTCATTTCTCCTGACTATGAACCAGCTAACATTGCTAGTGAAATGACATATATATGTCAGTAAGTGATATCGCTGTTCAAACTTATTAATGCGTGGAAACATCTAGGTACAAACTTCAGATGCAACAACTTTCTAAAAGAGTCGATCATGGAAAATAAAAGATACATGTATGACGTCTCCTCCTACACCTCTCTCTTGTATAAACTAAACCGGATCTATGGAAGCTCTGTATATTTTAAGCATGTACTTATTCACACTCTTTGACTTCCAATCAGAAAAAATTGAGGTTCAACTTTTAAAGCCTGGCTTAGTGCCTGTGCCCTTACACAAGGTAATGTGTCTTCATGTATCTCTCAAGACATTTGGATGGTTCCAGTGATTACATGGCAGCATAAAAGGAAGCACTAGTAAATTTTCAGGATGTTAGTGAAAACTGCTACACATGAAAGAAAGAGAAAAGTTTCTTCAAAAGATGTTTAAAAATCTTCCAGAGGGCTGTCAGAGAACTGGTATTTTAATTTCAACTTTAAAAAAATCTATACAAAAATCAAAGAAAATCGGTCTTCTAAAATACATCAACAATTATTTTTCATTCCATAGCTTGACCATACCCTTTAAAAATAATGGTCAAGGCAGCAGGATGTTATTCTATTTGAATGAAACTAATTTATAGTGAGCTATACACCACATGACTTTCATACTTAAAACCTCTTGAGTTTAAGAATTAGCTTGGTATCAATTGTATGATCTTTTTTCCCAGGGTAGCACGTAATCACTCTGAGATCTCACTAAACAAAACCTGATTAGAAAATGACAAGTACTTCCTGCTAACAAACCACTGAAACTTAAGGTGTTCACAGGAGAACATTGTTGTGAATCATACAAGTATACATGTACAAATTTTATGTTCGTGTTCATGTACTTGAAAACCAATCCAGATCCAACTTTAAAATCCCTAACCAAAATTGAAATGCACGCCACTGTCTCCATATTAAAAATTGGCACTTACAAAAAATTCAGCAATTTACATGTAGGTGTCGACAAAAATTCATCAATATTTATCAATAAGCACAAATTTTCCCAATTGTGAGAGATCATACAAAGCATAGCTGTTTATACTACAGTAAATAGAACACATGTGTGCAATGAAGGGGGGGGGGGTGTGGCAAGACAACTGAGATTTTGGTACACATAACTAAAGGTACTTAAGCAGATGGAGTGAACAAAATCAGAGAGGCAGCTCATTTGAAGTGGGTAATCTAAGGTTCAAGATGAAATACTAGTAGCATTGCATAAGGCATTATTTTATGCATCCTCTTTTCAACAGTGATCTGGTCTGGTGATATTTTACTCCATGCTTTATAAGAATGGTTTATTATTATTTCATCAAAGAGAGGAGGATAGGGCCAGGGTTGCTAGATGTTCTAGGTAAAATCTCTGCGTATGGTTGGGTTAGGGTTAGGTAGGGTTAGGTAGAGCATGTACAACTTCTAAAGAGTACTGTTACTTAACACTACTCTGCGTGATCCCCTAAATGCAACTAACAGGTACAAGCTGTACCGGTACTCCATTTCTTATCACTCAAGTAAAATAGAACTATATTTTTTTTTTAAATAATAAGTATCTTCAGTCATTTTACACCATCTTTAAACATTTGTTTGTTGTTTCTGCAAGCCTCAAAGGTCATTACAAGTTCATAGATACTCAATTTTAATTCACTGTGGTTTCAGTAGCACATTAGTATCTACCGCATCAGTCAAGGTGATAAAAGCTCCATACAGATATTAGAAGGTCTATTAAGTGGTTTTAAGTAGACCCAAAGGCTTATAAATCATTAATTATTGTCACCATCACTGAATAGAAACACAGCTTAACTTGTTTTGATACAGGATGGAGATTTTAACATTGCCATTTCCCAGTACATTTGTCTCACTCAGATAAAAAAAAAATGCTGTTTTATATGTTGTATCCGAATGATATTATGTTATATTATTGTCATTATCATCCTCTTTATTACCGTGATCATCGTCATAATACTACTACTACTAAACATAAATACAGTCATAAATTATAATTTTAATTATCATTCTTCTTAAAATATCATCATCATTATTATTATCATCATTATTACTTTATTTTTATCACTACTATTGTTACTATCAATTTTGTTATTATTATGATCTCCATCATCATAACCATCATCATCATCATCACCGTTATCATCAATTTATCATTATATCTTGTTATCATAGAACTTCATAGCATGTAATTAATCCATAAGATTGATAAAAAGGATTCTTTTCTGCTTACCATGCGTATAGGACCATGCCAAGGAGTAGAATGGTGGCCACTGCAGCACTAAGCAGCTCGCCGTAGGAACTATCTACCAAGATGGCTGATGTTATACTAGTTGGGGCACACAATACCAACGTTGTGTTATAGATTCTTGTTTTCGTTGTCTCATTGTAGCCAACTTCAGTTAAGGCTAGGGAAAATAATATTATGAAGGTGATTATTCAAATGAGAAGCTTTAACCCCTTCCTGTACCATGGTCAGTGAATCTTGCCCATGAACGCGAGTGTTAAGCAATATGTTTGGACTACACTGGGGGGTGTTTCACAATGATCCTAAGCTGAACTTATCTTTAAGTTGGAGTTAACAATTCTGGAAAGCTGTAAGTATCTTTGAAACTATTTTGTAAAAGTTATTTTTTAAGACGTAAAAGTGATTTTATAAGGCATACAATGTTGATTTAAATCCTTCATATTTTCTATTATAAAGGAGATTTCATGTTCTTGATGTGGAATTTATGAAGTCTAAAATACTTGAATTTTTGCTTTGAATATAATTAATTTGAAGGCTACAAATGGTTCTCCATAATGTTTAATTCCAACTTAGAGTTAAGTTTTACTTAGGTTCTTTGTGAAACAACCCCCCCCCCCCAGGTCTGACCCCAAAAAGAGTTTTTTTAAAGGCCATAGAACAACATCAAAGACATATAAAGGTCTACATTAGTATTATAGAAGCTGATTGAAATTGATCTCTTCTCAGACCTAGCAAATTTGTATAACACTTTGGTGGTTCTTTCATACATAGATGTACCTCACTATACAAAACAGTATATGCTAGAATAATTCAAATATACATGTATATAAAGAACTTACTTTCCATTGGTGGTTCGATGACAATTGCTGAGAATGTTAGGTACATGACGTATGCCGAGACGATGGACGCTTGGAGTAAGCTGGCTCTTGGATGATCTGAACATATCAGGAATAATATAGTGAGATTTAAAAAAAAAAGTTTTATTGAAAGTAAAAAAAAAGAAAGGTTTTAGAAATCCGAGGGAAGCAAGGTGCAGAGCACTTGCGCGAGGAGTTTCAGCAAGTTGTGAAATTTTAAACTGGATTTATACATTGATCTCAGGGACTATCTATTTTTGGAGAAAAAATAATCTGAAATAATCTGGAAAACATAATAAAATCGGGAAACAGATTTGAATTGGGAATTTATCAGGCCTAACATTTACACATAAATATGGCTATGACTGGATTCAAAAAGGCAAAGAATCACTGTTGAATGAATGCTATGCATGAGTTAACTTGGGCTGGAGTATATAGGAAATACATATAAATAATGAAGTCGTATCCCACTGGTTATTAACCTCATGCGGGATGCTTTAACTCTTTATGACAGGAAATCCTTTCTCATCCACTGCAGCTTATGTAGTGTTCATTTAATACATGACAAATGAAGTTCAATAAACTTTGGAAGGCTAGATGCCAGTCATATGCTGGTCAGAAAGCCAAATAATTTTACGATTTATACCATATTCAAAGTAATTGCTTCTTGGACAAGTGTTCCTGTGATCAAATCATGAACCGGGGACAATTACATTTTATTCCAGAAGACTCACCAACCAATCTCCCTGACAATCATGTACATGTAGATAGGGCAATTACCCCTGAAATATTATTCACTTTGGGCAAGTTTTCCCAGATGATCTTTAACATATCTAGGATAGTTAGCACTTCATAATCATACTATGACAACTATCAACGGATCAATCAGACATCTAGGACTATGAACTACTGGACAATAATCCACTGTGGACAACTTTCCCAGGACAAACATTCACTTGGGATAATTATCCATATTCCAATGGAGAACAGGTGCTCCTAGATACCCTCCTCCCCCCAACCCCGACCCCCACCCTTGGACACTACCACTGGACAGTAACTAGCTTGGATTATCACCCACCTACATGTACATGAAATAATGAACATTACTATTCATACTAGTGCTGTAACATCACGGATATCTCCAATTCCGTTTAACCGCCTGTCAAAACCGGACGGTTTCGGTTAAACGATTTATTTAAAAAAATAAAATAAAAAAAAAAATTATTATTTTTTTTTTTTTTTTTTTGGCCGTGTGAAAAAGCAGGAAGGTGATTTAACTGAAGGCGCCGATTTGTGCTTGTGAACTAGTCACAAATAATAGTAACAATGTCGTTTTAGAATAATGTGTAAGGTCATTAAAGTAAATTAAAAACAGTAGAGGACCTAGGATAGAACCTTGTGGTACACCATGTGTTACACTTGGATGAATATATATTCAAACCAAGATGACAGACAAATTGGAGTGTTGTTCTAGTTTCCAAGTGGTAAGTCATCACACCGATTACTGAGCTGGGAGATATTGCCAGGCATAGTGCCAGGTGGAGAGGCATAAATCGAAACTTTCAAAAAAAAAAAAAAAAAAAAAAAAAAAAAAACGGGAAAACAAAACCGTCCAATTGAAAACGGAATCCGCCATGGGCGGTCGGATACAGGACGGTTAAACGTTTGACTACAGCACTAATTCATACGTACGCTACAAACACATCACTCAATATGGAAGAGTGTATTATGGTGGTATTGGTCTACAGGTGTATGTTAAAGAACCATTCTGGCTTGGAATCTACTCCCCCCCCCCCCCCCCCCCCCCCCAATATTGTTATATGCAATTGAGTAGAAACCTTCAAAACCAGACTCTGGGATGCAATCCAAAGGGGGAATATAAACACGGTCCCTCTCTGCAATTGCAAAGTGATAGCACTCAACTCCAAAGTGTACTAAACACACTCTATCTATCTCTAACGCTAATGTTCTCATTGATCAACAATATCCCACTGCGAAGATCAGGACCAGAACAGATTCATATAAATTTCCTGAGTATGTAATCGTCATTGGGAAGCACGAAATTCTAAGATTATACTTACTTCTTGATATACATGGCAGGATGGTAAGAACGGAAAGAATGGCGCAGGCTGTGGCACTAAAACAGACATAGAGTGTGTTCCTGAGACATGCAAAGAATGGCTTGCCGTACAACTCAATAGTAAACACTGTGATGAGGATGGATATTGCGTAGAAGATCAGGATGAAAAATATAAGGCCTGAAGAAAGAAAGAAATGTTTGGAAAACAGGACCATAATGTGGTCATATTGAATTTGTATTTGATGTATTCATATCAAATAACAAGATGATATATAACATGTTTGCTACGTCCAGTGTAGGTTTGGTGCACAATGATAATCAAATGACCAAAGTTACCCCTTTACATAAGACTGAATAAATAAACTAATAAATAAAGATCCCTGCTAAATAGAATAATTAACATGTATGTAGTCTTAGAAATAATCATCAACTTCTATGAAATCTGTTCTTGTTGATATATTTTATGAACCCTACATTTGATAAAATCCCATTTGCATCACAGTATGCAGGCAAGTTTGAACATACACATGTATTCAGGCCTGCAGCTCTCAAAATATTAAAATAGATCTAAAAAAACACAATTACTTTCTATTTCAACCGAGAGCTTCATTTGACCGAATAACTCGAAAATACACTCAAAACTTGCTCAAATACAACATTAAAGAAGAAAGGAGCTACCTTTTATAACAGTTCAGCACAGGATAGTTTTGAAAGTTTGTAAACAATGGCTTACCAATATACCAACACTTAGAGCCTCCGTCATACTTCCTTGACCTGCAAGACAAACAATATAAGATATCAAGAATCATAGGAAGTAATACTTCCCACAGAGTCCTGATATGAAACACATCCACTCTAAAGCCTCATTCATCCAAGTGCAACAGATCACAGAGTATGCAAAGAGGCCTTTGTTGAGCACACCATTTCTACTCTCACTTGCCATTCATTTGTATGTAAAGTTGTTCTTTAATTTTTGCCATGGAAGATTTTTGATGAGGTTTAACCCGTACGTGTAAATAAGGCTTAATCCTACACATCTTGATTGTCAACCTAAAAGACATCTTTCCTGAAGCCTGTTCACACACATTAGTCTTGTTTACCCTATACCGTACTACGTATTTACTGAAATTTTACAACCCAGTCTCCAACAAAAAATTGCCCCATTGTCAATTTCCTACACTTCCCAAATTACCTAAATTCTTCTCTGGACCCCCAAAACAAACCTATAAATATGTGTACCTTGAGCATTGCACTAGGATCTCTCAGTTGAAATCAATTTTGTAATCAACTTTTTACATTTAACAAGACAAGATTGCCTGTTTGTATATGTAGCTAATAAGGACAAAAAATATCAGGATAAGAAAATATATAGACAAAGAAAGATAATATAAACAATAGTCTTGATTAGTTCAAGTTACAATGATTACAACATCAATGTCATTAGCAATTATAGGGGCACTGATTTTCCGTTTCCGTTTGCCATAGACTTTGTACACATGAAAAAACTAAAATTCCGTTTACATTAAAGATTTTCATTAAAACATGAACTTGTAGGGTACAAATGTTCTATTAAAGCCGCCACCTTTGACAAGCCACTGATAACCACTCAAAAACATACGGACAGGACTGGATAAACTTGATGCAAAATACTAGTGAAAATATAGACCCCTATGGTCTAGGCCAGACCTACAAAAAATAAAAAATAAAAAATTTGGTACTTCAAATTCGAACTTAGACAAGCAGACTAAAGTCAGCGGAATGTGTCAGAACACGACATATTCCTGACGGAACTATACAGTAGTACCGATGTCGACGAAAACATTTCAGTCTTGGCTGTCATGTCAGCGATCCAATCGATCAATTTTAGGCGCACATGCCAGCCCCTTTTTCAAACTGTACAACAGCGTGTACAATATCGCCGCACTTAGCGCCCATTGCTGGCGTGTGTGTGCCTAGTATTACGTCTACGTAATACGCGAAAAATCAGTGTCCCTACAATTATGTTTAATACAATGGAGCATGGTAATCATCACTCAATCAATCTAGAATAAACCTCTCTAAACCAGTATAAGCCACTCTAAACCATTATAAGCTCACCAACTGTGGTTCCAGGATGATGCAAAGTCAATGAGAAGCCATAGCTGCATGAGAATGAAGAGACACGCCCCCGTGAAGCCCACCACCAATCCTGCTGTTACAGCTTGACTAGGGGTAGGTATGAAGAATGCACCTACCCATAGCAAAATCAAGAAGAGTAACTTGAAGAACCAGAACCTGGACAATGCATGAGATTCAAATGAAACATATGAAAATGAATTTTAAAAAATGCCTTTGGTGATTTGTAGAGTTTACATGCAATATTTTATAAATCTTATGCTAGGCAATATCATAAAAAAGACAAATATTTATGATGGTAAGTGCTAACTGATGCATACTTTTCTATAAATACGGCTTTACTTTTATTAAGCATCTGGACACCCCCCCCCCCATATCATACATGTAAGCACCCCTGCATTTTGTATAAAGACAATAATACCTTTTTTGTGTAGCTCATATCACATAATGATCTGAAAATATTCAGATGAATGTAGAATTATTAAGAGGTGTCAAAGTCGATTGGTTTAATCACTTGACTAGAAATTCAAAGGGCATGGTATTTATGTTCTATTAAAAGGTGGCAAGCTGGAATGGTCCCCCGAGAGTGGGAAATGTGCACTGTAATAAACAGAATAGTAATTAAATTCTGGGAAGTAATAATACTGTAAGCCTTTTGGTCAGTTAATGGTAAAGTGCTATATAAGAAACCAGTATTACTATTATCATTGTGTTCCTGGAAAATTGTCTTGGCTAAAGTATCTATACTAGGAACCTTTAATTTTGTCTATACCTGGATTATTTAAGAGAGATAACTGGTAATAAAATGCCTTCTCTAACAGATAATACATGTATGTACCAAAAAAGTATTTGAACTCCGAACCTCACTCCTAACAGTCATGTGGATAATCCATTATACTGGTACCAGGTGTTTTATACCATAAGAAAAAAAAAAAAAAGCATCCTGTAGGACTGAATGTACGCTAACTTTTCTGGAATTTCCAGGGATTGAAAGCATTTTTGTGAATTGGAAATTAAAATTAAATCCATCTGTCAATATATAACATACACCTCATCATGTGTTTGGCTCATATGTTTGGAAACTTGTGTAATATCGTACAAGAACTTACTACCTATATATTGGAAAAATAGGGTATTCATTTTATTCCCTATACTCTGGTTAATTCACATTACTACATGTACAGTACATGTACATTAGGGGGTGGTTACTCAAAAGTAACTTCTTGGAAATCCCATGGAAAGGTGTGTTATAGAATTAACATGAATTTTCATGACCGGACATGGTGGCTCAATGGTTAGAGCGTCCGCCTCATGAACGGGAGGTCGTGGGTTCGATCCCCGGCCGAGTCATACCAAAGACTTATTAACAATGGAACCTTCTGCCTTCTAGCTAGGCGCTCAGCATATTAGATTGGAGAAGGGTAATAGTAACATGTTATGTTATGCAGGGCCCGCTGGGAGAGCAGTTTTAGGGTAAATAAAACATTATTATTATTATTATTATTATTATTAACACAAGTTTCTATGGGATGTCCACGAACTTAGAAATTATGACGGTTTTGAGTAACTGTCCCCAGGTAGCATTCAATCTGTTTTATTCCATGCTGTTCTTTACCCATTGTGTATTTGTCCTCGGATGGAGTTACTACTGCCTACACAGATAGTCAAAACAGCCATGACTAGAAAGAACGCAGCCAGGGCATAGTTGATGCGATACACTGCTACATATCCCATCAGGCTACTGCAGTTTGTCCCGGCACCGACATTCTCACAGAAATCTACCAGCCATGGAGCCTAGGTGAAAGGATATGATTGGTGATCAACATTGCATGAATGATTAAAATCACATGCTCAAGTGGGTGAATTGTGCGCAATAATAACTCTTGCACATGAACTATTAACCCCATGAAGTCTCTGCTAAAGAAAATGTGGCTTAAAAACCCATAGAGAAACAATATATGAAATCATTTTAAACCAAAAATTCAGCAATTTGGGGGTCCAGAATTAGAATTTGGGGGCCCATGGGTCCCGGGTGCCTGTTAGTTTTGAGCCTGGTTATGGGGATAAAAGAAAGAAATGTTTCAGACACCTACATTATGCACATACATTTATATCAAGGTAAAAATAATCTCTTTGGAAATGCCTGCATCTTCCAGAAATCTATTCTATACAGCAAAGCCTATCAAATTCTGAACTATTTGGTCTGAAAAAGAGGAAGAACTTTTAAAGGTAATGCAAATATTTGGTAATACTTCAACAGGCTTGGATTATGAAATTTAAAATTTCCATTTCCATTGTGAAACCTAGAGTTATGATAAACAACTTTGACACAATTGGGCTCTAAAAAAGATTTCAAGAAATTAAAATTGATCGGTGAACCAAATAAATTTCAAATAGTGCCTACGGCCATAAAATGTTAGCTGTGACTATGAAAATCTTGGAATTTGCAGTTCTGATATATAATTTTCAATCGGGAAAAGAAAATCAGTCTATTTTAGTCGAAAAAACATTGTTTTGAAGCCAAAGTAGTATCAATCTTGAGAGGAAGCTATACAACATAGAAAGTTTATTATTCAAAATTTCATCACTTTAGACTCTATTTCAATCGGGACAACGATCATTGAATATTCTAGTATCGTATATATTTCCAATATGTTCATTTGAACCAAATTCATGACCTCACACCAAAACTTTGTATTACCTGTAAGAATCAATGTGGACTATGGAGCTGATCTATTGGCTCAATTATATGCCACCATGAAATAGCAAGAGACACAGTGACTGAGATTAAGACATGTACGTGCATTGTAGGCTACAACAGCAAGTATTAGTCACTTGTACAGGTACATGTACTTTGTACATGTACATGTACACACTCCCACTTCTTCTTGTTTTTTCTATATTCAACTTTTTTTTCTAAACAACATTTCACAGTGAATATAGACAACATTCCCTTTTTTGGGTGTGTGCATGTATTTCACTATGAATTCACAGTCACTGTACACTCTGACACCCACATTTCTATTTCAGCTAAATCATTGCCCTGTGAATAATAGGCTAAGATCTAAAGTACACTGTACAGGTTCATGACTTATTTTGGTTGAGGTGCACATTTCCTGGTTCATCGACAGCAACTTGTTTATCCAAAGAACAATAGAAAGGCAAAAATCCCTCATATACAGGTGTACGCCGATTGCTAGAAAATCTGAAGTTAATTAACACAAACATTCTCATTACATGTGGCAATATAAATTTAAAAACACTTTCTGATTTTGTAAACCATTGGAATATTAGGGCCCCCCCCCCTCCCCCATCCGTCCACACATGCACACTAACTTTTTTCTGGCAGAGGGTTTGAAATTAAGATTTTAGAATCTGAATGCACAAGCCCCACATAAAAAAACGAAATTGTGGATTGAGTGTTGGCTCAGTCACTAGAGCGTCCGCCTCACAACCGGGAGGTCGTGGGTTCGAACCCCGGCCGCGTCATACAAAAGACGTTAAAAGATGGGAGTTGTTGCTACCTTGTTTGGCGTTCAACAATAAAGGATAGAGCAACGTCGATCTGGCGCTGTTCAGTGGCTGCCGGGCTTACGATCAATTGGGCAAAAAGAATTTCCGTTTCGATTTAATAAAATTTGGAGTGGACTATTAGGCTATTATTATTATTATTATTATTATTATCTGTATGTTGAGGTTAATTGAGCCCTCTTGAAGTGTATTTTCTTACCCGATGCAATGATTCTCGTATGGTTTCTGTGACCATGACAGCTGAGAGAATAGCTCCAAGAAGGTAATATAGAATATACATCAGCCTTGTACTGGTAGATTCTTTGATAGGCGGTAAACATGGTGAAGAACAGGATGCATTCCCACAGCAACATGCTACCTGCAAAAAAAAAAACATTTATTTAAAATCAGGGTCTTCTTATACAAATTTTGATTTGCTCATGATTGCAAAAGCAGCCTTGAGTAGACTCTATATGATTAAATCTTAGATGTCAATAATAACAAACGTTTTTCACGAAACTGGGATATTTGTATCATCCCTCTTCAAGTTTTACATTTTCAAACAGTTTGAATGAAATTGACCCTTGAAATCTCTGGGTAATTCAGGATAAATCAATAGATCATGATCACAAATGCATTTTAGGTTTTGTTATATCTCCCTCTTCATGCAGGCGTATGGGTGCCAAGCTTAGGCTATAGCGCTATGTGTTATCAATATCAATAGCAAGGGCAACTGTCTGTCTGTGTGTGTGTGGGGGGGGGGGGGGGGGGGGTGCTGGGAATTAATGTTGACAATTGTCAAGTTTTTATTTCAAAATTCCTAATACCAGACGTTTATTTCTGTCTAACCGATGACATGACTCAAGTACTTGAAGTACACCTACAGTACCTATGCAAATGTTGATGACCAACCTCACCAGTGAAAGTTACCAATCAATAACACCACACACTCACACTGACACACACAAAAGATGAATGTCACTTGTCATTGACCCCTCATTGACCCATTGTCAGAGTAGTCAGACTAGACCAAATCTTACCTGGCTAGTGCAACAATTTCGCTGGTTATTTCTGCCCATTTTTGTTCACATGTTTCACTACTTAGCTGCTACAGAGACCCAATGTCAGAATCGTCGGCGATTCTATTCTAGTACTCCGGTCCAGTGTTGATGGACCATTCAGGTGCTTATGCCATGGGTTAGTAATCCTCGAGCTCTTCTTAGATTTGTCATATGGCTACACCCTTTGTGTCATAGGTTTGTGTAGATATATACGCGCGTGTACGTACGTCGTGTCGTACAGACTCTGCACATATCAGCTGTTCGAGGATCGAAAATATAAACAAAGCGAAACACGATGGATAGTCTGTAAAGAACAGACTCTATCCACGATAGACGGCGAAAGTCATTTTCCGCTTATATAGGCCTATATAAATATAATATAAGAATGACTGCATGACTTGTGTTCTCTACGACATATTTTTCCTCATATGCACCTCCAACGCTTTTAAAATCTATTTGATTCATCTAGATTCAACAAATTATGATTAAAAAGAAGAGGAGGAAGAATAATGATAAAAAAGAACAAGGAAGAAAAAAAGGAAAAAAAGAAGATAAGATCTCTATTGTGTGGGGGAGTGGGGGTGGGGGGGGGGGCATGTCCAACCGTACCCAGGGGGTGCTGACTACTGAGTGAGCACATTACCCGGGGGAGGGGGTCACTGTCATACACAAGTGTTTTAATGAGAAAATACAAAGTGTTCTTGAAATACTGGAAAGTGAGAAGAAATATATTTTAGGGGCTTGATTATGGAATCCATAATAAAACAAATTACCTTTTAGATTTGATCTTTTCTTTTAATTTACATCCCTTAATAACAAAGCCAACTCGCATTACTGAAAATAAAGCATCCTAATTGATAGATAACATTTTAAAAATACCATACAGGAAGAAAAATACAGAGGACTCATTTATAGTGATCTATCTGATCATTTCCCAGTATTTTCAATTGCAAGTGAAAAAATTGTAAAGAATGGATTGGTAACAAATACATAAAAAGACGTATAATCTATGATTCAACAATGTCAATGTTTAAAGAGAGTTTATCATCCTTTGTTGGTCAGAAGTCTATAATTAAGAAAGCTCAAATGATTCTTGGGATATTTTCTTTACAAAAGTCTATTCCAATTATAATACCTATTTTCCAATTCAATTGGTCAAACAAATCAATGGTAATTTACGGAAACCTTGGATTACGCAAGTAATATTGAATTCAGTGAAACGTAAACATAGATTACATGAAAATAGCTTAAAAAGACCTAGTGTAAAACTGTCAATCATACAAGAAAATATTTAGATTTTAAAAATAAATTTAAAAATATCATAAGAGCATCAAAGAGGAAATATTACGAGTCTTTGTTCTATAGCTTAAAGAATGATACAAAAAACATGGTCGCAGATCAATTTGACACTTGGTAAAAAGAAACAGAATAAACTACCTCAAAATATGTATCACGGAAATGTAAAATGACTAGTAGGAAAAAATGTTGCACAACTGAGAGTTTAATAAAAAAAAAATATTGACATACTATTAGGTAAAAAAAACAAAATCAATTCAAACACGTAATTACTATTTGATAAATGTCTTGTTAACCCAATTTAAAATTTATTTTATGTTAAAGCAACAAGTATTCCTGAAGTTATCAAATTGTCATCTATGTTAAAAATAGATGAATCAAGTGGACCTGACTCCATTTCACCTAAAGTTGTTTAAAAAAATTATTCATTATTTTGTTAATCCATTGTGTGACATATTTTTAATAAATCTTTGAATAGTGGAATCGTCCCAGATGAATTAAAAGTTGCCCAAATTGTACCCTTATACAAAAAGAATATTGTTAATATAGAAAATTATAGACCCCTTGCCTTGCTTTCTGTTTTTGCAAAACTGTTGGAAAAAGTAATTCATGAAAGGTTGTAGGATTATTTACTCAAATGCAATATTCTTATTTCAGCGCAGTTTGGTTTTCGCACAAATCATAACACTGATTTGAGTGAATTTTTCTACAAATATTCCGCATGCAATTGATAATGGAATGTTTTGTTATTTATGGATCTATCTAATGGGGTGTTGCAAGAAAGTTGCGATTGATTGCAAGTTGCGTTTAACTGCAAGTTGCAAAATTTGCAACAGATATTTGCAATCGATTGCAACTCAACTTTCTTGCAACGCCTCACTAGTCTCCTAAATTTCCTGGGATTTCGTTAGGATTTAATCTTGAACAATTAAATTAATTTAACTAGATCTAGCTTTTATTCATCCCCCCCCCCCCTCTCTCTCTCTCTCTCCCTCTCTTACTAATGGGACGTTGCAAGAAAGTTGAGTTGCGATCAATTGCAAATTTGCAATTAATCGCAAGACTTGCGCTTGATTTGGGTTATTTGCAATTGATTGCAACTTTCTTGCAACACCCCATAAGACATATTTTGACACCATCGACCACCATATTTTACTTTAAAAACTGTACCATTACGGTGTACGTGGTATACCTCATCAGTGGTTTTCTGATTATTTGTATAATAGAAAACATTATATACCTCATTTTAAGATTCTTTTCTAATCCTGTCTTCTGATTGGTTGAAAATGCAGTCATGTTCTTAACCATGCCCGCTAATTGAAATTCATAGTCATTTTTCCCGGCTCTACCGGTTTATATCAATTTTTCATAGCACTTTTTCCATGGCTGTGAAACGTGACGTCATTTTGCTGCGATCCCCAATTTGGTTTACGTGTTACCGTATAAGTTTCTTTTGTGCGATGACCGATGCGCAATACCGTTAACGGTGTTTGATCGCTGCATTCAGGCGACGAATCTACCAATCCACGCAGCGCAGACGACCGATCGCCATTTTGTGTACTAGTCTCGATCGCAAAATACTGGGGTTTTTTGTTTCCAATTTTTTGTCAATAAAGAGGCAAAATGGAGGACACAGCTATGCCAAGATTTCAACTTATGGATGACATTCAGCTGCAAGACTTAATCGATTCTGCTGATAGCAAAAATACGAAGTATGCAGTAAAATACGGCATTAAAATATTTGAAGAGTTCTTGCGAAATGTCAACACGGACCTCGGAGATGTAAACAGACTTCCGAATGCAGACCTGGACAAGATCCTTCAAAAATTCAAACGCACAGTCTGTGTAAATATGTTGCGAATTTGTGAATTTATAAAGTTACTGTTCATGTTCTACTGTTCTACTGGAGCACAGCTTGTTGGTGATATCATCCTGTACAAAAGTTACTGTTCGTGTAAACGTGTTTGGTATTCCCTGTTCTACTGGAGCACAGCTTGTTGGATTTCATACTGTACACAAGTTATTGTTGGTGTTAATATTCATGACTTCAAAGAGATGGAAACCTAAATGGGTGAGTCAACATTTTCCTTTTTTTCGGTATATAAAATATATATTGACTGCTTTTAATATTCGAGGCATAGTTGTTTCTATAGGGTCTCGGAAACTCACAACCTGCTATGACCCCGCGGCGCAAGCGCCTTGGGGTCATAGCAGGTTGTGAGTTTCCCTTGACCCTATAGAAACCACTATGCCTCTCAAAGCAGTCAATATATCCTTAATATGTGGTGGTCGATGGTGGCGAATCTGATTATATGGATATAAATACTGGAGTTCTGCGAGGACCGGTTTTTGGACCACTTTAATTTATCATATACATTTATTTAATGATATTATTAGTTCATCCAAATTACTTATGTTATCATAAATCATACGGTTGTATATCATTCTCATTCCAATGTAACACGCTTAGTTTCTATTTTAAAATAAATAAAATTGAATAGGGGCATTTACACTGTCTTCCAAACACGCCAAAAAATGCCAAACCGGAGCCTGGCCGCGATGTTACCAAGGGCAACTACGCTTTACCGGCAGAAACGCCAAGCCCCAAACATTCCAAAACGAAGTGCGATCTTTTGGCGTGTTTTGGCGTGTTTTGGCGTGTTTGGCAAGTATCAACGCTCGCAGTTGTAACATCGCGATGTTAGGTAAAGTGACTTGAGGAGCGGGGCTAGCTAGATGTCGTCCTTTTGAAGACAATGATAGAACGATTAATACAAAGAATAACATAAGAGAAGGTGACAGAAGGAAGAAACTAAGAATAACATAAGGAAAGACAGAAAGAGAAAGTGATAGAAGGAAGAAATAAAGAATAACATAAAAAAAGTGATAAAAGGAAGAAATAAAGAATAACATAAGGAAAGACAGAAAGAGGGAGTGATAGAATGATAAAAAACAAAGAATAACATAAGAGAAGGTGATAGAAGGAAGAAACAAAGAATTACATAAGGAAAGACAGAAAGAGAAAGTGATAGAATGATTAAAAAACAAAGAATAACATAAGAGAAGGTGATAAAAGGAAGAAATAAAGAATAACACAAGGAAACACGGAAAGAGGGATTGATAGAATGATAAAAAACAAAGAATAACATAAAAGAAGGTGATAGAAGGAAGAAACAAAGAATTACATAAGGAAAGACAGAAAGAGAAAGTGATAGAATGATTAAAAAACAAAGAATAACATAAGAGAAGGTGATAAAAGGAAGAAATAAAGAATAACATAAGGAAACACAGAAAGAGGGAGTGATAGAATGATAAAAAACAGAGAATAACATAAGAGAAGGTGATAGAAGGAAGAAACAAAGAATAACATAAGGAAAGACAGAAAGAGAAAGTGATAGAATGACTAAAAAACAAAGAATAACATAAGAGAAGGTGATAAAAGGAAGAAATAAAGAATAACATAAGGAAACACAGAAAGAGAAAGTGATAGAAGGAAGTGATAAAGAATAACATAAGAGAAGGTGATAGAAGGAAAAACAAAGAATAACAAAGAAAGATAGAAAGAGGAAAGGGTTTGCATCGGAGTGCCGCGCATGCGCATTACCAACTGAAACACGCCAAAACATCACTGAGCTTTTCAGTCGGTGATGTTTCCGCACAAGTGTAAACGGCTGCGCGAAACATCGCGACTTTTCAAAATGAGGTATTTGACAGTATAAATGCGCCTAATGATTACTTTAAATTTAATAAACTATTTTTGAATTATGAC